AATGACTTGTTCATCATCATACAAACAGTAAGTGTCTATATTGAGATTTGAACTCAGGTCTTTCTGATTTCAAGTCCAGTGCCCCAACTATCATGCCATGGTGCTGTATCAATGATTACATATAACTGAACAGTTCTCTTGCATTATTCCTAGATACCTACAATTGAAATCTATTTAATGACTACAGAAAGAATAATAGTTCAGGTGTTCTCAGTTGGTATAGACCAATATGCTCAATTAAAGTAGCCACCAAAGTGGGAGTGCATATCAATGTTGAGAACAGTGTTTTGCATTCACTCATTCACATTTTGTTTATACAAATTTGTTTATACAAATTGAGGATATGTACTGGACCCTTTTCTCTTTTCTCTCTATACTCTTTCATGTGATCTCATCAGCCACCCTTGGGTTCAATATCTTCACTATGCAGATGATTTCCAGATCTATATATTCAGCTCTAGTCTTTCTCCTGAGCACCAGTTCCACATCAGCGGTTGCTTACTAGACATTTCTATCTGGCTGTCGCACACATGTCTTAAAATCAACAGGTCTAAAACAGAACTCATCACCTTCTTCCCCATTCCCACCCCTCTTTCATACTTCTCTATCACTAGCAAAAGCTTCACCATTCTCCCAATCACCTGAATGAAAAATCTGGGCGTCATCCTCAACTCTTCATTCTTACCATGCAAATCCAGCTGGTTGCTAAATCTTGTTACTTTCATCTCTACAAAATCTCTTGTGAATGTATGTATATATTGACATATATGTGTGTATATCTGTGCATATATGTGTCTCTGTGTGTGTATATATATATGTGTGTATATATATATGTATACACACACACACATACATACACACATATACACACACACCCTCTCCACTCATACAGGAATAACTCTAATTCAGGCTTATATTACCTTTTACCCGAACCACTAGTCTCCTAATTGGTCTTCCTACTTCAAGCCTTTTCCCTCTCCAATGCATTCTCTACATAGCTGCCAAAAGTAATTATCTGAAAACCCAGGTCTGGTCAATGTCATTTCCCTGTTCAACAAACTCTAGAAGTTCTGTACTACTTCTAGGATCAAATATAAACTTCCCTGTTTGATGTGTAGAAGTCCTCAGAATCTGGCCCCTTCCTACATTTCTACTCTTTTTTGATGTTATTCTCCTCTTCATACTCCTGATCCAGCCGTATTGACCTACTCACTGATCCTCACATGTGATATTCTAGCTCTCTCATCTTTGTGCCTTTGTATTGGGTGTCATTCATGCTTAGAATGCTCACCCTCCTCACCTCTTGGAATACCTGGTTTCCTTCAAAACTCAGCTCAATTGTCAACTTCTGCATGAAGTTCCCCTGGCTGCTACTGCCCTTTCTCTCATGACCACTATATTCATCTTGCATATGTTATGCACATTCCTTTATGTATACATATTCTCTCCCCCATTAGAAAGTAAGTCTTTTGACTGTTTTGACTTTGTATTCTTATTCTTAGTGTTTTATACATTGCTTTGCATATAGTTAAGTGTTTAATAAATGCTTTAAATTTATTCATTCGTTGATATATTATTACTGTTCAACTAAGAGTAATTCTCACCATATATTAATATAAGAAGAATTTATGATTTCTTTAGTATTAGTGATTCCTAGTATGGGAATTCTCTCTACCATTGCAGAAAATAACTTATTCAAGACAGTATATGAGTCCTAGGGGATTGCTAGAGGCACAGAGAGGTTGTCACCTGCCTAGAATTATTTAGCTAGTAAGTATAAAAGGCAGATCTCCCTCACTCTATATTCAACACTTTTTCTACTATGTCAAAATGCCTCTGTAACTATAATCATACTATTTTTAAAAAACGCATTGGATTCTAAGACAACATGCTTCTACAATCCTATAAACTAGAAAGAGTAAGCACAAAATTTAAATAATTAAAAACATTTAAAATATCATTGTGCCACACCTTAACCTTCCTCATCTTTTGCCTTTTCTAAGTCTGTCCCCAACCCCTGTCCAATTTGTTTTCCTTGGTCTATTTTATGTTATGGAGAAAGCAATGATACTCTTTCCAGAAGGGCTCCCCATCCACTCAATTCCTTTTAAAGAACCATAGAATCTTTAGACCCAGAATGGACCTTAGAGGTCATCTAGTCCAACTCTCTCATTTTACAGATGAGGATGCCGAGAGTCATGAAAATTAAGAAACTTATCCAAGGTCACGCAGGTAGTAAGTGTACTCAAACTAAGATTCAATCTATCTGATTCCAATTTCAGCATTGTTTCCCCTCTGTACCATCATTCAGACACTTCATTCTACACATAGATTGAAACCCATAGAGGTAAGGTGACTTATTTAACATCATACATATAGTGACTAACATGACAAATTTAGCTCAGAGTTGATCCTTTTTTTGGTGCAGTTTTCCATATAATTCCTTCCTCTAACTTTCTTCTTCTGGATTCTTCACTCTTAGTTCCATAAATAGACACACAAATATCCCAGAGTTTCTAACTTCCCTCTGAATTCTTTTGGCTCTTTGGATTTTGGTAGCTAATAAAGTGACACTTAAAAGAGCACATGAGATGTGCAGAGACAATTGTCATATGTACCCCTAGTCTTGGTCCCAGTGGGGGATGATGTCTTGGCACCAAAGACATTATGTCAGGCTGGGATGCTCTCTCTCTCTCTCTCTCTCTCTCTCTCGGCTGCACTCCAATAGATTTATTATTTTTCCTAGAGACAAGCTCAAGGTGAAACAGTACCCCTCCTCAGAAGTGTCTCATCTCATCAATGTGTCAAAGCCTAACCTGCCAACAGCAGCAAGAGGAGAAATGCCAGCACTTTGTGCCTCCTGCATTAGATTTTGGATGAGGGAAGAAAGAAAGGAGGAAGAAGATGGGAGAGGGAGAAACATGGGCTTTGAATTTTTTTTGCATCGATTTTGTATGTATTTTGCATATACTTAGAGTTGTAGTACACATTGTGTCCTGATAGAATATGAGCTCCCTGAAAGCAGAGCCTGATTCATTTGTATCTTTGGCTAGACAGTGACAAAGCACATAGTAGGCACTTAAATGTTTGTTAATTAATTGATTGATAGGAAGAAAATAAGACATGTCCAAAATGAGTACATGTGACAGGTGGGTTGCCAGGTATCCCTTAATTGAATACCTGATTTTGTCAGGATAGGTACTACCTCCCTTATGGAAGATTGAAACTCTTCTACAACCAAATAGCTGGTATTTGAGACCTGTTGTGGCAGAAAGATACATCACCCTTTGGTTAACATGGTGATGAGGCTTTCTGATATTAGCTAGACTGGTTCTCAGAAGACAGACATGCAACCTGTCACTAGGCTTTCCAGCTAAGGAGGAGCTACTAGAGCTTCGTTGCCATGAATTTAGGGAAATGTAGTTTGGGGCAACTTGACTGCTTCCACATTATGATAAGGCATCAATGTAGGACGCTGGTGGTAGAGATTGTTCCTACTTATAGAATTATCTTATAATTCATAGCCTTGTCCTATTTTTTTTCATGGGTTGCCATTGCCAAAGAACTTGTCATCAAGAGATTAGTCCATGGGTTTTTGGCAATCGCACCCTTTGGGGGGTACTGGAATGATTCAGGGAAGGCGGTAGTAGCCTTGGGTGCAACTGTCAGGCATTGAATAAAAATAAGGGGGTGGTAGAAGCGTGAGGAAAGAAGAGAAGATAAGAAAATTTTGAAAAACTGTTCATACATGTTTCATCTGTTGTGTAACAGAGTCACAGTCATAGCGATTACATTATTTTCCAAATAAACATATGAAATGCAGGTTATGACCGATCAGTGGTAAGTCCAGCAACAGGTCTTAGCAACCAAGTGTTGGCAGGCAAGTGTGTCTCATGTTTTTGGGAAGTCCAGCATGCATTGGTGGGAATATATGCATGTAATGACTTGTTTACTATATAGTACTATATGGTGACATGACACAATATTGCATCATCAGAATTTCAATGCAGGAAAAAACCCACGAATTTATAATAAATTATTAAATTTAGGATGTGCCATTTAAAAATTAAATTTTTTGAAATGACACAAATAAAAATCATTAAAGGGTTAAAAAAAGTAAATTTCCTGGGAGGGGGGGTTTGGTGCTGAGTATTTTTTATTTTTGAAAAGGGGATGGTTAGGCCAAATTAGTTTGGGAACCTCTGGCACTAGTATGTGACTGATAGTGTATTCCCAAGACCATATGCAAGCCATACCATAGTCATCAAGGTAGAACCTACCAGAACTTGCACTCCTTGCATATAGCCTTTGAAAACCTAGGCTTACCTCCATGCCAAAATGAAGTATCAGAATAGAGGGGCTCCCTGTGGTGGACATGTGGAAGGACACAGACAAGAGTCGTACAGGCAGGCATGGATGCGTTGTGATTTGCATTATTGGAGGAAATAGCCATATCAGTGAACTGACAGGTCCATCAGAGTATTGAAGTATTTGCATCTTTTTTTTTTTTTTTTTAGTGGTTATCACATGGAATGGCTTTGGGTAGATTTAAACTTTTCTGAGGAAGCTGTTGCACAGTGGATAGAGATTTGGCTTCAGAGTTAGGAAAAACTGAATTCAGGTCCTACTTCTTTCATATACTGGTTGTGTGACTCTGCTCAAATCATTTAACTCCTCAACCCCCCACAGACAAATAGGTACTAATTTACATTGGTGGATCAAATTTCCTTACTGGGAGTTCCCTCCACAGATGAAATGACAAATCCGATTAAAAAAATAAATTGAACCCATACTGATATGCTAGATGAGCACTGTTAATACATGTTCAGCACTTTGTAAAAATCTTCCCTCCCTGCCCATATTAGAATGATTTTTACCCTCCAAACTAAAAACTAAGAGCTTTATCTTTGACTTAAAAAAATCAACAATCAATGCTACATAGAATGTATGAAGATGATTGTGTCAGAGTGAATAGCCTGAGATGCTCAGAAGAATTTTACCTTGTTCACACCATCTGCCATTGCCTGGAGAGTTAGTTCTCTGGGTCCATCCACAGTCTTCCCATTATCCGTTGGGCCCCAGCTGGCACTGTATATGTCTATTACTTGAGGCATGTGACTGATGGAGGAGGCCTCAATGATATCCGTCATAAATGGTTGATCCAGCATGCGTATTCCTGTAGATTTTTATCAGCAGTGAAAACATTGTAGTGGTAAGACTTAAAAGCAAACAGATCATTGTGTGGAGATAGTCTGGTTTCAGAGTTGTGGTTGTAATGTTCATAATTCTAGGACTTTCTCAGAGATACTAGAGGACAAAGAACCTTGGTTAACTGAACTATTAACATTTCCATTAATTATATCATTATAGATTTAGAATTGGTGTGTGTGTGTGTGTGTGTGTGTGTGTGTGTGTGTGTGAATCTTAGAAGCTACGTAGCTCAATTCCCCTCCTCTCTCTGTCTCTGTCTCTATCTCTGTCTTTGTCGCTCTATCTCTCTGTCCCTCCCCTTCCTTCTTTTCCTCTTTCTCCCTCCCTCCCTCTCTCTCCCCGTCTCTCTCACAGATGAGGACCGGAGGCTCAGAAAATATGATGATGTGCCCAGGATCACACGCATCTAGTAGATATCAGAGGTGGGTAGTTACCCTACTTTTCCTCTCAGCCCATTGCCTTAGTGTTTTCTCCTGTCATGCTGGTGAGTTAGGATGTAGCAGAAAGCTGGGTTTGGAATTAGAGATCTTGGTTTGAATCTTTTTTCCTGCTCCATGTTCCCTGTGACCTGGAACAATTCATTTTCCCTCTTTGAGTCTCGGATGAGATGATTTCTGAGATTCCTTGCAACTTTAAATTCAGTTCAGTTCAACATATACTTATTAAGCCCCTACTATTTGCAAGATGCTAATCTTTAGGTCTATGATATAGTAAACCTCATTTAAATACCTAAGAGTTTTGGTGTGCTGTTATTGGAGAGCAGGGGAATGAGAGGGGTAAAGGAAGCCTAGTGTTCATGTCCCCGTAGGGACTCTGGATTCTGGGAGCTCCCAGGATGGTGAAAAGAGGGTAGTGAAAAGAGACCTGGGTATTTTGACTGGGAATTGTAAGGCTATAGGGAACCCCATAGCAACACACATATCCTACAGTCACTTCCTTTTCCTCATTTTATTAAGGGACATCATCTCACAAACTTCATTTTTTTCTATGTGTATATCAATTTATTTAATTGAGAGCTATGAAGTACTTTAAACAGGGGATAGGAAATTGCAGGAATTGACATGGAACTCTATTATTCTCTCTCTCAAAAGTTTTATCTGTTTTTTAAGTTGCTATTCCATCTAACTCTTCTGTGTGTCATGTATACCTCTGTAAGCCTGGTGAAGCCTATGGACCTTTTCTCAGAATAGCATTTTTAAATGCATAAGATTATAAAAGGAACCAGTGATATTGGAATATATTTATCAAAATACTAAAATAGTTAAAAAACCCAAGTTCATGGATCCCAGGTTAAGAACCCTTGTTTTAGAGAAATTAGAGGAACAGAGAGCAACCATAAACTGGTTATTCTAGTCATTCTTGCAGGCAGACAAAAGCAAGAAGCTTTGGAGTCAGGATAGGTACTGCCTCAAGAAAGAGGGAGAGAGAGATAGAGAGAGAGGTAGAGGGAGAGGGAGAAGGAGAGAGGAGGGGAGGGGGAGAGAGAAGAGAGAGAGAGAGAGACAGAGAGAGAATGACTAGTCACCTCTAATACATGAATAATGGTATTCAATTTTTTTTTTCTGGGAAAAGGCAGACATCCAATTTTCAGTTTAAATTTTTTTTTGTTCTTGGAGGATTTTCATTCAGAATTAGCTTACTCTTTGATTTGTACAGCCCATAATCTCAGTTTTATGATTTGTTTTACAGCAAGAGAAGTAATCAAAATCTTTCATTTTTGTCTCAGCTGTCTTTGGCCTTCCGGCTTTTATTTTGTTCTTAATGTATTATTAAAAGAGGGGCACCTTGACAAAGCAGATGGAGTGCTTCTGGAGTCAGGGCAATCTGGCTTCAAATCCTACTTCTGACACATACTAGCTGCGTGATCATGGGCAAGTCATCTAACTTCTCATCCTCCTCGCCACACCCCCCCCTCCAAAACTTTAAGTTAGAGATGAGTTGTTGCTCTGCATCTATGAAGGGAGTTTCCACAACTGGAACATTTCTCTAAACCAATGAAATCCCAAGTCTGGACCGCCCAAACCCACAAAAAGTTGTCCAGATGTGGCAGAGTAAATTTCTGGAGCATGTAGCCATATTCCTATTGCTATGGCAAGAAGATCCTGGAAAGCTCTATTGATTCAAAAATATCTCCCTTGGGTCAATGACCTTCATTTTGTCCCAGTGGACTCTATTGATAGAGAGAATAGAATGGCTTAAGACCACCATGTTTAAAGCTAGATGGGAACTTGGAGTATCTCAAATTGATGGGCACAAAGCAAGCACTTAATAGGTGCCAGCTAGTTAGCTGAATGACCTATTCCAAACCCCTCTCCTTTTGTTTCTGGGGAGGTTTGCTCAGGGAGGTTCATTGCCTTGGCTAAGGTCACACAAAGAGTAATAGAGCCGGGATTCAAGCCCAGATGCTCTAATTTTAGCACTTTCCATGACACTGGGGGCTCCCATATTGTTGCACACATGACAATGCTTCTTAGGACCATTTTCCTCTGAAGGGTTAGATTGTTAATATTTGCAAAAAATAGTCTTGCCCACCTAACCAATAGCTTGATTTCTTAGTGGCAGTGTTGGGTTTTGTAAGAGATACTGAAACAGAGAGGGGCCAAATGCCTGAGCTGTCTGCAGTTCAAAGCCTTCCTCTGACTCTTAGTAGCTGTGTGATAGTGGACAAGTCATTTAACTGCTCTGAGACTCAGTTTCCACTTTTGTTAAATGGGGTTAATAAACCTATAGCACCTAACTTCATAGAATAATTGTGAAGCTTGAATGAGAAAATATTGGTAAATAGAATAGGGATTTCATTGATGCAGGGAACTCCCAGGTGAGGAAATTCTCTCTTCCAGGCAGCTCAACACCCTTTCTAAAACTTACAGAGTCATCTTGAACAGAAGTGTCAAACATATGGCCTGCAAAATTCCTGAATAGGCTGAACCGTATTGAAATGTAATTGGGAAATATTTAACAAAATAGGTAAAAATAAAATGAATGTAGATAACGTTAATATGTGGTTTTCTAAGTCAATATGCAACCTGCAGGTATCCATATGTATGGTTTAGTGGAGCTCATTTCTACTTGACTTTGACCCCACTGGTCTAGAGACCCATGGCACTGACAGGTTCAGTGATTTGGTCAGGGTGACATGGCCAGTATCAGTCAAAGTGAGGTCTTGAACCCAGGTCTTCCCGGCTTCAAGATCTTTTTTTTATGGCTCCCTGTTCTTTTCCTTCTTGCCTCTCTCATAGGCCTTTTCTCACTGCTAAATTAAATTAGAAGTAATTTCTGCTACTATCTTACCCAATTTAAGCCTGAGGGAAGAAGACTGACATGTGCATAGACTGTCAACAATTGTTCTTCACCTTTTCCGTGTCTAAGGAGGAAGAAATATGTACCAGGGAACTTGGCAGAAAAGCTTCTTTAATCTTGTTAAATTCTGAGAGTTGAAGCTTGTGTTAATTGAATGAGACATGAGATTACTTTGGGGTGAGACAGCACATTCTGCGGCGAGGATGGGCTGATCCAAACAGTTTTTGTATTGTATGTATATGCATATATAGTTCACCGTAATCTCTACTGATCATGGGTATGGAGGGTAGCTGGTAAATTCTGTGGTCCTTCCAGTGAGAGAGGAAAGCCAAGGGAAGGAGAGCTGTGCCCTTGTCTTTAATACGTATTCTTTGGGATTTATATTCCACTGTCTACTGTCATTGAGGCAGGCCTGATGACCAGGTCAGTTCTTAGGTGGGAGCTTTGCATGAACCTCCATTTAATTAATTTAGTTATCAGAGACTGTAGCTTTAATTTCCATTTGCTTTTGTCTGCCTGCAGAGATGTTAATGTGCCCCTGCCTGGCCCATTTCTCATTCTCTGTGGAAATCCTGACTTTCTTGAGCTCTCTAGAATAGATGCTCTGGGCCAAATTCTTCCAGTCAACGCAAAAGGGGTGGCTCTATTTGTCAAGTAAGTATCATTGTGGGGGACTCCAGTTGTGTTATTGCCCTTAAAAGACCCAAATCCTGTACCCATTTTCTCTATTTTCTAACTGAAAAGCAGCATGGTATAGCAGATGGTATGTTAGACATGGAATCAAGAAGTCCTAGATGCACATTTTGCCCCTGACACTTACTAGTTGTGTGTCCATGAGTTAATGACTTAATCTCATCTCATTGAGTTTCTGTTTCCTAATCTGTAAAATGGGGACAATAATACCATGGCACTTATTTCATAGTGTTGTTATGAAGCACCAATGAAATAAAGCATGTAGAACACTTTGTGAACTTTAAAACACTTTACAGTCAGTTTTTATGATGTAGATATATGCTTTGTTCTAAAGTTTTCCTTTTCTGCAATCGGTTTCCCCCACATTCTACCTTCCCACACTGACCCTTTTTTTGCAGAAACCCAAGCCAGGCTACATTAGAGAATATTTCATTTAAAACAGGTAAAAAGTTTCTGACATGTTGCTTTCTTGGCTGTGCTCCCCAACTTTGTGGGAATTAGCCTGAGTGAAAGAAAAGTAGTTACATCAGTATTTTTCCACTTTATGCCTGGGGTGGAATGTGGTGTCTCATAGTCTTTCTCTTAAGGGAGGGGAAAGTTTTGGGTTCATTCATTGATGGGATGGGGTCCTGACTACTACCTTGAATTCCAAGACCGATGAGGCTCACCACATTCCCCAGAATCCTCACATACATGTCCCAGAAGCTGGGGCTTTGTAAACACTTCATAACTGTTATATCTGTTTATATCAGGGACTCCAGTGATTTTCCTTATAATCCAAAAGATGACTAATTTCTCCTTGTTTCTACATATCCTTACAGTAAGCCTTATTGTCATTTCCTGAACTCCATGATCTGAGCTTGGACACTGAACAGCTTGTCTGATCAAGCTAATGTAACCACCCATCTGCACTGTGTGGGTCTCACATAATTGGCAGTGAAATTTACCTTATTGCTAAATAATTGCTTCATT